TCTGTTTCTTTATGCCAACCCAGTCACTTGTTATTTTTATTATGGTTATTTCAATTTTACGTCGTCTTGTGGCGTAATGTGTATTCTGATCGCAAGCGACAAAACCTCCCCCCACCCCCTTCAAAGGCCGAAGCGAAGTGACCGGGCGGCAGAAATCATTCTTCAAGAGGCCGATAGTTTAGGTAATTTCTTTTTACAGTGAAAATAATGGTATTTAAAAAAAGTAAATAACATAAGCACTGCTTTATAGTTAGTTCAGTTAGTATGCAAAGTTTCATGATCTTATTTAAAGTACTTTATGAATAACAGCGCTTTATTTTTTATTTTGGAGGTAACTTTGGATTTTTTTGCTATCGAGAAATTTTTATGAAATCGTGGTTTCGTCTAACATAATCCTTAACATTAATCCTCAACTTTACCGTATAATTATTTCAAAATTAATGCTGCAATATTTTCGGCATAACGAAGGATCTTGCTAAGCTATTTGAGATTATGTTTCCCCCTTAAGATCCATCGTTTTAAATGAAAAGCGTGGGAAGTGTTGCAGGAAAATTAATAGAACGTTCTTTTTTTTAATATCGAGCAATTGACTTATGGAGTTCTAATTTTAAATAAATTTGTTTTTTAAGACATATAACACGAGTGCGTTCCATTTTTAAATTTCGAGCATCTCAAAACTTATTGAGTGATCTACGTCTATTAAATATTGTATATTTATCGTTGAGTCCGAGTTAGTGATCCGACAAAAAATATAGTGGGATCAGATGCAGATAAAACGGCTTTACCTGTTTTTTGAAGCATAGGTATGAAACCATGCTAAACTCTGGACACCGGGCTGCTACTGGGAATTTCTTGATCGAAAACCCAACTGATTTTAAGCCCGATGATACCTATTATTTAAAGGTCAAAAACTTTCCTAGTTTGAGTTTAGTTTTAGCTTTCATTTGCTTGTAGGATGAGAGAAAATATAGATACTTGCGCAATTTCATTTATTTTGTTAGTGTAGGTACTCAGTTTTAGGTAGGCATTGGATTATAGTCTTCATTTCAAATTTTTTATTCAATATCTATAATTAGTGATGGTGCTTGCTTACTTAGGGTAATATCCTATTTGTTATATAAAAATCAGGTATTGGCTAGAGAAATTCGGGAGCACGGAGCAAACGGGAGCTAATTAGGGATTACGCTATTGCGGTAAATTTTTGTTTATTTACAAACCATTGCACAAGAAAGGTAAAAAAGACGATACCAACAATTATCGACCGATTACTCTTATACCCATAATATCAAAAGTTTTTGAGAAATGTTTTTATAAGAGATTAATGGAATTTTCTGAGAGGTTTAACATAATCAAAACAGAACAATATGCCTTCCAGAAAAAGAAATCTACAACGCTAGCAACTTTTAATCTTATAAAAACAATAATTTCTAGCATAAATAATAACCTACTAACCACAGGATTATTCTTTGATTTAAGTAAAGCCTTTGACTTTGTCACACATGGTTTTCTTTTAAGTAAATTAGATTTGGTTGGAATCAGAGGGATAGCTCTAGAGTGGATTTCATCTTATTTATCAAATCGACGGCAGTGTGTCGTTATTGATAAAATGGTAAAAAATGAAATATTGTCCTTCTCATCTAAGTACAGAGAAAAAAAAATATGGTGTTCCTCAAGGTAGTGTTTTAGGGCCGGTATTATTTCTTTTATACATTAATGATATAACTCTGGCGACAAATCACAAATGTATATTGTATGCGGACGATATTTCCGTAGTTGTAACATCTCAAAAAAACAGTAATTCATTACATAATCATGAAAAGGAAATAAATGATACAATCGATAATATAACTAATTGGCTGCATAGAAACAATATGAAAATAAACCTAGATAAATCAAATTACATACATTTTAATAAAATAAAAACTAATTCTTGTCTAAATATCAATAAAATTAAGGAAATAGAACAAATTAAATTTCTTGGTGTAATTATAGATCGAAATTTAGACTGGAAAATACATATAGATGACCTATGTCAAAGAATTAATCGTTTTGTGTATGCACTACGTACCATAAAAAAAGGTAACTAATAAAAAAACGGCCCTATTATGCTATCGGGCGTATATTGAATCTATACTTCGATATGGTATAATAATGTGGGGCAATAGCATAGATTGGCGTATGGCATTTATCGCACAAAACAAGTGTATAAGGACAATATGTGGTATACCAACTAGAGAATCCTGTAAGCCAATATTCAAAAATCTGTCTTTACTAACTATGCCCTCGTTATATATTTTTGAGATAGGTAAATTTGTAAAACAGCATACATATTTATTTAAAAAGTCATCTGATATTAATCCTAGACTTAAAAGAAATCCAAATAGATTAGTTCTAAGCGAAGTTCCGAAGTTAGCTAAATATAGTAAATGCTGTTTATCAATGTGTGTACGTATATACAACAAAATGCCTGATGAAATTAAAACACTACTAATATGAACGTATTTAAAAAAAGATTGTACCATTGGTTAATTGACAAAAATATTTATGACACTAATGAATTTCTGACATTTTAAACTCGATTTTGACATTGTAAAACATAATTATAATTTAAATAAACATGTTTAATTTGTTAATTTTAATACTATATAGGTTATCTTGATTTAAATGTAATTTGTATGCTATATTATATTAAAATAGCAAAACATGTGGGCATAATAAGACTCTGAAACACCTGTATAATTACCATGTTTTATGCAAATAAAGACTATTATTATTATTTTTGGGGTATCTGTATAGTTTTCTCATCTGGTTGGTTTCTATAAATATATAATTATAAATTAAAATGAAAAGATAAATATACATAAATATCAATAAAATAAAATAAATACAAAAAAATAGACAAATAAATAAAGATCCAACCAGATGGAAGCCTTCGGCAGGGGAGACAAAACGGCCGAGGGTTAGGGGGAAACTGAAAGAAATCGACGGACGATGCGGGCGGTATCGAGGACCACTGCCTTCTGCATTTGAGCCCGGAGCGGTCCGTCACGGAGTCCCAGTCGCCTCAGATGACCCGAGAGGCTGACTGGGATTAGCCCGTTTGCAGAGACGACTACAGGAATAATTTCGGTCGGCAGACCACCCCACATGTCGGTCACCTCGTGAGCCAGGTCCAGATATTTTGTTTGCTTATCTGTTTCGGCTTTCACGAGGTTCTCGTCATACGGAATGGTAATGTCGACCAAAAATATCCTTGACTGTGCCCGGTCCATCAGCACAATATCAGGCTTATTTGCAAGAATAGTCCTGTCTGTGATGATGGCCCGGTCCCAGTAGAGCCCGGCGCGGTCATTTTCGAGCACGGCTTCTGGCAAGTACTTGTAATACGGCAATTTCCGGTCCACGAGACCGTATTTCAGAGCGAGCGCCTGGTGTAGAATTCTGGCTACTAGGTTGTGCCTGTGCAAGTACTCAGAGTTAGAAAGCGCCGAACAACCGGAGATGACATGTCTAAGTGACTCCCCGGGATGGCGACAAGATCGACAGACGTCGACGGTGCCATCCTTTAGGATGTATCTCCGATAGTTGTTGGTCTTAATAACCTGATCCTGTATTGCACAGACAAAACCCTCGGTTTCCCCGAAGAGGTCACCGAAACGTAGCCAGTTGAGGGAGGCGACTGTATCTACGAAGGGCTCATGTAGAACCCTGTAGTACCTCCCGTGGAGCTCCTTCTCCTTCCATACGGTCTCCCGGTCGGAAATGCTAAGCACTGCTGGGTCCTGCCATTGCTCGTTGGCCAAGGATAGAGGGGTAAGCCCTTTATCACTAGAAATGACATCATTATAGAATGGATCATCCGATCTCGCCAGGAAGTAATGACGGAGGCTGCACACTTCACGATTATGCATAGTGAGCGCGCTTAGAAAGCCACGCCCACCATGCTTTCGCGGCAAGTACAGCCTCATTACCGACGATCTCGGATGATGCATCCTATGGGACGTCATGGTAGTGCGGACTTTTCTATCCAGGGCGTTAAGTTCAGTCTGAGTCCACCTGAGTATGCCAAAGGTATACATAAGGACAGGCATGACCCAACCGTTATATGCGTGTGTCTTATTCACACCGGACAAAAGGCTATTAAGCACTTTGGTCAAGCGTGCATAAAACACGTCGCAAACTGACTGTTTCACACCAGCCTCATCGATACCGATGTTCTGTGACATACCCAGGTATCGGTATGTTTCAGCCTCGGAAAGGGTCCTTAAGTTGACGGGCATAGATAAATCTATGCCCTCAGAGTTAGCAACCCTTCCCCTCTCAACATGGAGGACCGCACACTTATCCGTCCCCAGCTCCATTCCAATGGAACTGCTAAACTCACAAGTGATTTTTAGCAATTCCACAAGATGGGAGCGACTGGAGGCGAATAACTTAAGGTCATCCATATAGAAAAGGTGGGTCACTTTTGTCCCTCCTTTCCGTAGCTGAAATCCTCTCCCGGATCCCTCCAGTAAGGTACTGAGAGGGTTCAGGGAGAGGCAGAACCAGATTGGACTCAGACAATCGCCCTGGAAGATACCCCTTCTTATCCTTATGTGGTTCTCCGCAGCCATCATCCGCTCACCCAGATGACAAAGGATCGTACTCCACTGCCCCATACACTGCTCGAGGAAGTCTCTCACTGTACAGTCTATCTTGTACAGCTCGAGGACTCTCTTTAGCCATGTATGGGGCACCGAGTCGAATGCCTTTCTGTAGTCTATCCAGGCGGCGGAGAAGTTCCGACGGTTGCGTTTCACCACTTTGCCTATGACCGCGTCAATGAGGAGTGGTTCCTTAGTTCCACGACCACCGCCCCGACATCCATTTTGAGCGCGTGACATCACCTGATTTAGCTCCAGGTGACGAGTGATTCTCGCGCTCAAAATGGATGTCAGTGTCTTATATATCGTGGGTAGACACGTAATGGGGCGGTATTTGCTCGGGTCTGTGGTAACCTGGTCTTTAGGAACCAAATGAGTGATCCCAGTAGTGAAGAGGCTAGGGAGCGACTTCTGGTTGAGAGCCTCTTGAAACTGACGGGCGAGCACAGCGTGACACACCATGAACCCCTTCAGCCAGTAGTGATGCAGTCCGTCGAGTCCCGGACTTTTCCAGTTCGGGGCTCTACGGACCGCCTCAGCTACGTCATCCGGCGTTATGATGACGGGATCCATGGGCGTAATACTCACACACTGACTCGCCACAACTTCCGTCCAAGGGCCCTCGCTGTGGTTTACGGGCTCTGACCACAGGCCACGCCAAAATGCGACAGTGTTAGCCTGATCCGGTCCTGGGCCCGCTCCACATACCTCTGGTCGCTCCAATGATTTGTAGAGCCTCTTCTGATCACTCTGGAAGAGACGATTCTGGTTGAACCGCCTTGACCTCTCGGTAAATCGGCGAATCCGCTTCCCCCAAGCGGCAATCTTTTGCTTCAGGTCGTCTATGCATCCGTTAGTTTCTGCGTGATATCCGGCTGGGACAAACTGATATTTGTCCCAGCAAACCCCATTCTAACGGTGCGCACAACCCTCGGTCTATTACCTTACCCGACCTGAAGCTTATCAGTCTGCCGATAAGGGCCCTTGCCTTTGCGATACGGTCCTCAATTCTTTTTCTCCAGGCTGGGATGGCGCTACTTTGTTTAGTAGCGCGTCCAGCCATGGGAAGTTTGGCGCCAATAATACGGCAAGCTGCCACTGCGGCGCCAAAAAGAACTGAGTCCGTCTCGCAAAGGTCCCGGCTGGCTTCCAAATAGGTTACCAGCATTGGGTTAAGAGCCCTCACGACAGCCCGATTTCGCTTGCTTAGGGGTATGCGGGGAAGTCGCGGTCGATTTTCGAGAGGCATGCTGCGCGTTTCTAAAATCGCCTCTTCCAATATACTCCTCATTTGCTCTAGTTCGTGGGAGACCATTTCATCATCGTCTGAATCACCCACAACTGGAAGATCCATGGCGGCTTCTACTCGTGGCAGCTGGTCTGTCGCCTGAGGAGCCTCATCCCCAGCCGTAGCCAATTCATTCGATGAGGGAATGGCCTCACGTCGTAGTCGTTCGAGCTCGGCATCATTGAATATTTTCGAGCGCATGATGTACCGAACTCGGTCTGCCAGGTTTTGTTCCGTGACGGGAATAAACGGCTCCAGCTCAGCAAAAAAGCCCGATACGCTATCCCCGCAGTTTCTTCCCCTTTTATTATTATTATTATTATTATTATTATTATTACAAAATAAAACACAAGCGTACATTTGGCCCCCTTCGTTTCTTGGTTCATTTGTGGGTCTGTTTATTTTTTTATTCATTTGTTTGTCTGATTGACCGACTAACTGAATGTTTTTGTTCACATTAGTGTCTTTCTTAGTCTTCGCGACAGTTTAATTTACAAATAAATACTATTATATTTATCAATTATATCATCATCTCACTTAGAATAGCAAAATTACTAATTTCACGCGAACGTAGTCGCGGACACAGCTAGTATAAAATATTATTTTTTCATTTCCATATGCAAATATTAAAACAACGGTCTCTATTCAAGTTATAAATCAAGTTTCAGTACGTAGATATAATAAACATATAATTAAATGAAAAAAAAAAAAGATTAAAATTAATATTAATATAAACGTGATTAGTTTAGTTATATTCTAATTAATTAATTAATGTCACTTAAATTGAAGAAATTCTTGAATGGTCAGTTAAAAGAATTAGTGGCTTAATTTTAGAAAAAATGCAATGCTTCCTGGCGTCGTATGTCCTCAAGCAATTTGTTGTAGGGCTTTTGTGTCATCACAAAATACCACTGCTTAAACGGGGCTATTCCATAATATATATTTTGTAGACGATTACTTCGACGCTCACTAGAAGAATGGGTAAAAACAAACTTTACCGTTTTATAAATATAGAGTAACGTTTTAAGTTCTTGAAATGTGGCTTACAATTATCCGTTTGTTTTATGCCACATATTGCCCGCACACAGCGCTTTTGTGTCCTAAATACTGTTAAATATTTTACTGTAATTACTTAAAATATAAAACCATATTTAATTATTGCTACTACACATCAGCGGTAAGCTGTCAATAATGTTTTTTTTTTAATTAATATTTTGTTAATTAGCAAATTCATGAAATAAAAAAAAAAGGGGACCTGGCTTTAATATAAATCTTTTCCATTTTATGATTAATTAAAATTTTACTTATACGTATTATTTGTATTCTATTGGATAACTACAAACTCATTAGTTTTAGTGAGTTTCCTTTTATACCATTATACGTCTCTATTTTTACTAATAAAATATTATGGTTAACAAAGTCTTGGTCATATCGAGGAATAATACATAAAAAATTGTAGTTAAATATTTTTATTTTTACGAAATATCTTTTGTTACTTAAGTATATTTTTAGCTTCTAAAAAGTTATAAAGAATTTTATAAAAGTGTATTTCAAAAATTTTGAAAAAAATGGGAATAAGAGCTACAAGTCTATAACTTTTTATATGGTGTTTGTCATCTTTTTACATAAGAGCTTAAAATTGTTATTTTTAACTTAGATAGATAACTCGTTCTCTCTTATTCAATATTAAGACTTGAATTGTAATTCTTGCTTCAATATTAAGTCATATCATAAACTTGTGTATATTTATGACATGGACATATACATATTGGAGTAATTAGACGTGAGACAGGTTTCATGATCGTTGCGTTTATGTCATTAGTACCCAGATGACCGAGTTTTGCTCGGCTTTTTTTGAAATTACATTTAGATACAAATTACATACTGATGAATAATAATAGAAAAACTGAACTATTATTTGAATAAAAAATCATGAGTGCAATTAGTTTAATTAAAATTTTCGTATTTTTAAAAAATACCAAAAAAGGGCTCGAAATAACAGATTTTCTCACAAAAGAAGGGAACTTGAAAAAAAAGGAAAAAAATCGGACCGAAGACAGGACGCGAACCAAGGCATAACGATTTCACGACCGCTCGATATCCACTTGAGCTATTACGAACATTAACACAACATTTTTTTTTTTTTTTTTTTTTTTTTTTTTCCCCAAACCCCCGGAATTTAATTTTATAAATTTTTGTGAATTTTTTTTACCTTTTTTATTGTTTCATTGTCTGAAAACATGGACAAAAAGTCATTTTCTAAAAATAAATCCTAGCTAGATCGATTTATTGCCCCCGAAACTCCCTGGACATTAAATTTTATGAAAATCGTGGGAGCCGTTTGCGAGATTCCGATTATATATACAAGAATTGCTTGTTAAAAGGTATAGGATATTCTGTACTATTTTTTTATTGTTGGTTGGTATTGTTGGTTTTATAAAGAATCACTTATAACTATTATATTTTTGCAGGTATTATTCCGACTTTTATTTTCTTTAGTAGGTGGTTGCGCATTATCCGTATAAAAGTCATCATATGCCTGAAAAATTAATTTTGGTTCTGTTTTAGCATTTCCTTCAATCATTATTTTCTCTATATCTTCCTTTGAGAATCTCCCTTTATTTTTATTTATGAGTTTCCATGTTGCTTTTCATTTATTTTTCAATTTAAAAAATAGTAGAAGTTTTGTTATTTTTGTTGAAGTATATTTTTTTTTCTATACTTTGTGGCATACGATCTAATTGCTATTTTGATTATATTTGATTTACTCGACGCGATTTACGGCCGCGGCGCTTGCTGTTGTTTGCGATTGCCGCTGCGTGACTCGCGGGCTAGTAGAATAGAATCTGAGCGAGATGCGACTGGCAATCGATACATTGACCATAACACTCCAGACAAATTTGCAAGCGTTACCATCTCGGCGGTGATATGAATCTCCACAAACTGTCGTGAGCTTTGAAAATTAATAACTCAGAATTTTCTTTACCGCTGCGGGAGCGAATAAATATCGCTTCGTGAGGATTACTTTTCAGAGGACCTTCAGGATTACTTTTTAGATTTTTATATCAATAGTGGTCACACTTTGTTCTTTAAAAACACATTTTTTATATAAATATGACCTTGACTTTAAAAACATACCTACATAAAATTAGTAGCAGAGGTACATTAATTAATAATCGACAAATAAAAAAGTAAACTGATTGTGTGGTGGCGGTGTACTACATATCATCCTGTGGGTGTTGTAAAATTTGAAAGAGGAGAACAAGGCAGGAGATGCGAAGCAGCGACTTCTTAATACCAATAAAAAATAAAAAATCTGCAGTTATCAACCCGCCCGCCAAGCATTAAAACTGTGGTAAATATCCTACGGAGGTTTACGTTCAGCGACTGTTTGGACTTGTTAGACTTTAGTCTGTATAGTCTGTAACTACATTTAAATCGCACGTGTATTCATAACATAATTAATGTGACGACAAATATGTATCCAAGAGCATAATACATGCTACCCTCAGATGACAGACAGATGACCTCAGATTCATGAGTAGTCGCCAATTATTAACATGAACTAGCATGAAACATATAATAAAAAATAAAATGAAAAGTGATGAAACTGATAATAAAACTAAAATACAGAGAGCACTGGCGGACCAAGCAATACGCAGTCCGCACGGTCCAGTGCATACAATAAAACTATTTGCAGCTTTACGCTCTCTACACAGTCTAGTTGCATGGCTAAAATGGCGTCCCACAAAATGAAAATAATTTCAGTTCTTTTGCTGCAAAAAGATATATGCCGAGTCAAATTTACAAAAATATTGCCTTACCTTTCATATACAATAAATTAAATAACTTTTAATCGCATTATTGCTATTTACTTTTTAAATTTCAAATTACAATAATAAGGCTCATGTTGTTTCGGATTTGTTTACCAACACAGAACGCTCGTCGTCATAAAATATGCGGATCATTCAACCGGCTGACCCGAGTCTTAATCCGAGTTGTCGCGCGAGTGCCAGTTGTCACTTAACAAAGGCCTTTTGTGTTTGGGCATACGCCATGTTCAACAAAAATTTTGATAATGTAAACGATAAACAATATTATTGGCCTTTAAATGAGTTAATTTTTATCTCAGTAAGACTAAAACTTTCAGAGATATGACTTTTTTCGTAAACGCGTAGAGAATATCTCAAGAGAAAAACAAAATGGCTGCCAAATAGAGGGGGAGGGGATTAGACCTCAGTGTGTAGTGTATTTTTATATTAAAATAGCTGTATTATAAGTACATAAAGTATCGCTAGTCCGTGACCGGACACATTATATATATATATATATATATATATATATATATAGTTAAGAATATCCACTACCCCATATCTTCCCGTGGGTGTCGTAAAAGGCGACAGAGGAAAACAGGCAGGAGATGGGCAGTAGCATCTTCCTGAAAAAACTGCAACTGTATGACAAAAAAAAACTGCGGTTGCCAACCCGCTCGCCAAGCGTGGCAACTATGGCAATATACCCCGCTATTCCTGGCTACGGTGACGACCATGGTAACGGCGGGGCAGGGGGTGCTATGAATCTCCGGTGGAGGTTCGGTTGCCACCTACGATGACTCGACCTGGCAACATTTAACGCACGCACCCTGAGGGCTGACGAGAAGATCCTGGAGCTGGAAGAAGAGATAGACAAGTTGCGCTGGAATATTATAGGATTATCCGAGGTCCGAAGAGAGGGGGAGGACGCGGTGATTTTCGAATCCGGCAACTTGTTCTATCACCGGGAGGGCGACCATCTGTCACAAGGAGGTGTCGGATTTATCATCCACAAGTCTCTCGTCAACAACGTTGTAAAGATTGGGAGTGTGTGGACGACAAGGTCGCGTACCTGATACTCAGAATCACCAAACGGTATTCGCTGAAGGTCATACAGGTTTACGCACCAACCTCGGCACATCCCGATGAGGAGGTGGAGGAAATGTATGAGGATATTTCCAAAACCATGCATTCCTCCAAAACCCACTACACGGTGTTGATGGGAGACTTCAACGTAAAACTAGGCACAAGAGAAAACAATGAGCTGAAGTTAGGGAAATTTGGAGTAGGGCAACGGAACCGAAGGGGCCAGCAGCTGGCCGACTTTATGGAGAAAGAGGGACTCTTTATGATGAACTCTTTCTTCCAGAAGCGGCCCCACAGGAAGTG